CACACACACACACACACACACTTATTTTGTGTTGCACACTTGTACATCATGAAGTTAATTCAGAGGGCAGGATTCCATTTTGTTTTTTAAAGCCTAGAACCTTAGGACCCAGCATATTGATTAAGCGATTAAACAATGACAGAGAAATACAGTAACAATCATAAGTGAAAGAAAATAATGATAACTACCATGATAATTATTATCTTGAAATATCCTCAAACACTTTGCAGAGGTGATCTAATTATTCCCCTGCACATCCCTCATGGGAAAGGTATTACTGTTTCCATCTTGAAGATGAATATAATATCTGCTCTCGATTTATGTGTCATTTCTTCTGAGAAGTTTCATTTATTTGTTTTCTTGTTCATCTTCACAATATGGAGTTAGACACCCCAAATTAAGTAATTGTGTAGAGCTAGAGGCAGTATAATCTGCTCCGATGGTTGATTGATTAAAATTCAGTGTTTTCCAAACTGTTTTCATCAGATACCCTGTGAAATTATAAAATGTCCCAAATATGGAAATGTCAAAGCATCAGATGTAAAATAAATCTAACTGGAAAGTCTAGTGCCTTTTCTGGGCTTTTCTGTGCGGCCCCCCCTTCCTTTGGAATGGGGAACGGGGGAGGAAGGAAGTAGAGAAAAATTTAACGTGGTTTTCTTCTTCCTCGCTCCCTCAAATGAGCCCTGACAATTGCAGCTCTGACAGTGAGTTCTACCTGAAGCTAACGTGTAGGGTAAAAGGGAAATGGGAAGAAATATAAAAGAAGGAAAAAAGAAGAAATGGATAAAACCACTGTTCTTTACGTATCAATGTGACAGCATAAGAGGCTTCCAAGGGGTGCTGTATTAGTTTGCTAGGGCTGCCATAACAAAACACCACAGACTGGGTACCTTAAACAATAGAAATTTACTTTCTCACAGTTCTGGAAGATAGACATCCAAGTTCAAAGTGTTGGCAGGTTTGGTTTCTCCTGAGGCTTCTCTCCTTGACATGGGAGAAGGAAGGGGCCACCTTCATGTAGTGTCTTCACATGGTCTTTCCTTTTTGTGTGCACATCCCTGCTGTCTCTCGGTGGGTCCCAGGATCCTCTTCTTATAGGGATACCAGTCATATTGGATTAGAGCCCATTCTAATAGCCTCATTTTAACTTATCCTTCTGTCAAGTGCAACTGATCTCACAGACTCATTGCACACAAAGATGCCGCTATGAAATACGTCTTTACTGTACTAAGTCACAAACACAACTGGCGATAGGTTACAGTAGAGGGGGAAGATACGGACGCAATGAGTCACGATACTTCAGTTAACTGTTAGATATTTGAAAATTTGTGTGCAATGAATCTGTGAGATCAGTTGCGCCCGATGGAGGGTTAATCGCCTCTTTAAAGGCCCTGTGTTCAAATACAGTCACATGCGGAGGTGCTGGGGCTTAGGGCTTCAACATATGAATTTGGCAGAGATATAATTCAGCCCATAACGTGTGCTTTTATTTAAAAGCACCTGCTTTCAGGAAAGGGTGATAGTAGAAATATGTAATAACTGTACAACATGAGAAAATGGTTGTTAAAAGATAAACTGAGGCATCAAACTCTTCAAGAGTTTATTTGAGCAAACACAGATTCTAATTGGACAGAGTCAAACCAAAAGTGATTAGAAGCGCTCTGCCAACAGGGGCTAAAGGAAAGACTTTTACAGAGCAGACGCAGAAGCAAAACAAGGAAATGATTTCATTGGCTGTAGCTTAAGCAGTTGTCTTATTTAGGAAAGTCTAGGTGGTAGTTTGTGATTGGTTTTTCTTAAATTTTGTTTTCTCAGATACAATTATATTTACAGGAATTGACTGGCTTAGGTTTTGGTTTGCGTACATAGGTTACCAAGGCATTAGAGCCATCTCGGCCTCATGGCTTCCTTGTATAATTATTTTAACATGGTCAGCAATGCTCGTTCAGTCCAGGGAGTCAAACCCTTTTCAATCAGCTGACCTGACTCCAGTTTCCTGCCTGTTTAGTCTCCCAAGGTGACCCATTCATCTGCGGGGGTTCCTCCCAACAGTTTATTGGAGACCTTCCAAAGCCTCAACAGTGAGGCTGCTTTCTCCACAGATCCCCCAAGTTTGTTTGCATAATACTTCTGACCGTGTGCTCCTTGAAGAGTGGGCCATTGCCCCTTCTGTCTTCCCTTAACATGACAGGTGACAAATCCAGATGTTCCTCTTTTCATGTTCTGTGAGAGGCACGTTTCCCTCAGAACTCCTCTACTCTCAGAGTCCCCATCTTCATCTGCACCAGGTGGCCTCCCCATGGAGCATCTCACGAAGAGCCCACGCTTTTGCTCAGTGTTGACAATCTCAGGTCAGGCAGTCAGCTGGAAAGCCTGACAGCCTCACCTGCTGCCAGCTGCATTAGTTGAATGCAGGAAAGTAGATCCTTGGTGACAAGGTTGGGGGGCTGGGGGGTGGTGAGCAACGTCCTCAAGGAGAAGTTCTTTCCAAAGTGGCCACAAAACCCAGATATGTATTCGCTGTCATGTCAGGAAGAGCTGACATTCAATATCCCAATTTTAAAATATGTGAATGGGGATTATATCACATTATAAATGAAGTCTCCATTGTGGAATACTGTTATTGATTTCTTTTAAATAGTAAGCTTTATGCATTTCTTTTTTCATTGACAGTATCATGCACTTGGCCAAATTATGATATATGTGTATATATTATGTGATTAAGTAGTTCTATAAAGTAGTAGAAATTAATGCATGTATCCATTCATTTAACAAGCATTTAGCCAGCTTATTCCACATGATGGAGATGGGACCAAACACTAGGGACAGTAAACAAATTCCTGCCCTTGAAGGGCTCACAGTTACCTGGAGAAGAGAGGAATAGTGGACAGGCACAATCCAGAGACAGGTTATCATATTGCTCGTGCATGAGAATCACCGATAAGTCTGGTTCAAACGCAGGTTGCTGTGCCACCTCCCACCCCACCCCCACTCCTTCAGTTTCTGATTGAGTGGAGCCAGGAATCTGCATTTCTGACAAGCGCCCTGGTGATGCTGCTGCCTTGAGAACCACTGATCTAGTGTGACAAGTGTTAAGGGGCTATGGAAGCTCTGAGGAGGAGTTCCCAGCACTGGCTGGAGGGCAAGAGGGGTTCAGAGAAGACTTCATAAAAGAAGTGACATTTAAAGGAAAAGTGGTGAAGGATAAGGAGGGAGAGATTGGGGGACATGCCAACTACATTTAGTTCTAAAGGACAAAAATAGGAGACAGTACATGTGGTTTGAAAAGAATGCACATCATTCCGTGTGGCGAGGATGAAGTCTGCGTGTGAAGCAGTTGCAGGAGATAAAGTTGGAGAAATAGGCAGGGCCTAGAGCCACTGTTGGGGGCCCTGTGTGAACACTGCCCTGTACTTGATTGTAGAACCATGAATGTCCAGAGCTGAACTCCAACCTGGAAGAAAAGAGCCCTGGTAGAAGAACTCTGTCACAGTTCGCTTTCTTTAAAAGAGGCTTTTTTCTCCTGAGCCTGGTGCAGGGTTTTCCAGCCTTTTCGAAGAAATTCTTTTCATTTCTCTGAGTTGACACATCTCACTGGAGGTGATATGACAGTAGAAAGGGAAGCACATTGATTGCATCTAACCAGAACTGAGTGGAGGGTTAAGTTTTTGCCATTGACCCATGCGCCATAGCAAGAGGGTAATGTCAGTACTTTAATAATTCATTGTTTCGTTATGACTGACTCTTGGAAAACCATAAGCCTCACCCACCTTTCCCGGCCTCCTGGTCGCTCCTAGGGGAGTAATAACGGGCCTGGGAAGCAGAGACCGGGAGAGAGGGAGACCCGGTAGCCTGGGCTGTGATGACATGTGCTTCGTTCCTTTCTCTGCAGGGGAAGATGATGATGACGACGAGTGTGGGGAGGAGAAGCTGCCCTCTTGCTTCGACTACGTGATGCACTTCCTGACTGTGTTCTGGAAGGTTCTCTTTGCCTTCGTTCCCCCCACGGAGTACTGGAACGGCTGGGCCTGTTTCATCGTCTCCATCCTCATGATTGGCGTACTGACAGCTTTCATCGGAGACCTGGCTTCCCATTTCGGCTGCACCATTGGCCTGAAAGATTCTGTGACTGCGGTAGTGTTCGTCGCCCTTGGAACATCAGTACCAGGTAAAGAACACACTCGTATACGATTCCCCCAGAAGCGAAAGCCCATTGGCCTCACCACCGTTTCTTACCTAACACGTTCAAGGACTGTGATAACAAACCAGGCCTGTGAGAGCCGAGAGCCCAAAGATATATGTGATGTCACTGTCAGAACTCTGTCATGGTGTTTTTCAAGGTTAGGAAGCTGGTCAGTATCATCATGATGACAGGAAAGCTTTCCCAGAGGGAACTTCATGGCCTGCATGGACGGATTTGATGGATAGATTTATAGATCAGCCTCTTGTTACAATTAGCACTTTCAAAAACATAAAAGAAAATGACAGAATCATCTCCAGGAACACAATGTCTGTCTTGCATATAGTTAGTAAAGTTTGGATGATTTTTATGAAACTCTGTATTCATTAGGTAACTAAGATAAATGCTGAAGACCTGCTACAATATTCTCTTGGCCCAAGTTTTAACGGGAGTAAAGAAGAAGAAACAGGCATTGATCAGGACAGGGAAAAGGCCATCTCAAAAGGGAGTAGGCCACGTGTACATGCCATGGACATCCCTTCATGCATTCCTATAAGTTTAGTTTTTCTTCCAGACTACAACTGTAGCGCATTATGGTTTTCAGGCTTCTGATTGAGACATCATCCTCCCACACATGACACTGACATGGTAATTTTCAAACTTGAATGGGCATCAAAATTATCTGGGGGCTTGTTTAAAAAATCCAAATGCCTGAGACCCATCCCCAACCTATGGAATCAGAAGACCTAGAGCAAGGGCCCAGAAATGTATGTTTTAAGCTCACAGGTGATGCTAGTGAACACCAGAGCTTACTATATTATAACTCACGTCCTAGACCTATTCCCCAGCACTCCTTGACATCTTGACAGATGGACACCTTAACTTTGAGCAAGAAGATTCTCATTCTCTACCAAGTAGCAGGTCAAGGACAAGTATCAACGGTGGGTTTGGGGAATAGCAGGACTTGGGAACGACAGCCTTGCTGTGGTGCCCTTCACGCTGCACGTCCCACACTTGCCACAGCCCTCATACAAATGCTGTGATTTCTAACACGCGCCGTAATTGACACCCCTGGCTTCTGGTTTTGAATCAGAAAATAAGTAAAGTTTAAATCATATATATGTCTTCACTGGAATCCACTAGTTTTTCTCCACTGAGATATTTATCATTTTGGTGACTGTGGATAAGCGACTTAACCTCTCTGAGCCTCAGTTTTTTTATTTGTAAAACTGGGATAACCATACTTAACTTTCAGAATGGTAGTAAAGACTGAAGAAAATGCCTGTAACTTTTTCATCTAGTACAGCACCTGGGACATGGAAGGAATTTGATATCATAGCAGCTTTGGTGATTATTACTTACGTTGAATAGCTTAGGAGGATCTGACCAGTATAAATCTGAACACGTCATCTTTGAGAGACCAGGGATGAAGTTCCCATGCTTACACTGGTCGGCCATAGCACAGGGCGTTGTCCAACTGATCGACCCCTTGGGAGTCCTGACCAAGTGACCTGGCATGGTTTTGGTGCCCACCTGAGCTGATGGAGGAGCCAGGAGATTTAGAGAGTACTCTTACTCCCACCTTCGTGAGCAAGGCTATGCAAACTCTTCCAGTTGATTACTCATCCTCAGAGAAGAGCAGGCTCCCTGTCAACTCCAGCTTTGTTCCAGTACTTCCACATTTGGTCTTTATTTTGAATTTTTTTCCAACAATAACCAGAGATTTACCAAGCAGGAGATAAAACTTAAAATATTCATATTTTAAGTTGCTTTGTTTAGAAAACATATATAGAGGGTGCCCCCCAAAAACTGTATACACATTTTAAGAAAGGAAAAAAAACTGTATTAAGGGCTGGCCGAGTAGCGTGCATTGGTTAAGAGCTGGCTTGGGACGCCAGAGGGCCCCGGTTTGGATCCCACTTATGAGGGCCAGTGACACTGCCCTCTACAGCTAAGATGCTGAACAACAGCTCAACCTGGAGCTGGGCTGCCCTGAGTCGCCAGCGATGGCGTAGGCTGCAGCCCCTGTTGCAGTGGGTTGCCATGGGCTACCGTGTGTGGCCAGCAGCCAGCGTGAGCGGCCAGCAGCCGCCGTGAGCAGCCCTCCAAAAGCTGGCAACTGATCTGCCTCCCCCAGGAAGAGCGCAATGATGGTGCCAACTTGGGCCAGTGAAGCAACGTCCTCCGCAACTAGACTGAAGAACAAAAAGGACAGCAACTGTCGTTCCCCTTCCCCCAATTCCCCAGCACTGTTCCCATCCCCCAATTCCCCAATAAAAATCTTTAAAAAAAACTGTATTAAAATTGTAATAATCTATACCGATGACAAAAGATGAATACAAGTCACATTTGACTTCTGCAATTACAGGAGGTGCTCACAGTGGTTACCATCAGCGTCCAGACACTTCTGATTATGGCAAACTACTGCTTGAGTATAGATAACATCTCTTAAAATGTGTATACATTTTTGGCACCCCCAGAATACAACCAAAGGAGCTAAATAACATGGTTATCCATTGCACTATCTGTTGCTATTATAAGACAATGTTTTGGAGTCCACTTTGTCTGAGGCTTAAATCATTGTAGCAAATGGTGCCCAAGTTAGCACACACTGCTGGCCATGGGTTTAACCCTTGAGGAGAATCTGTGCAAATTTGATAATAAAGGTGAAATTAGGTCTCTCGTGACAGTTATTCAAAATCAGCCTGCCTTTTAGGAAAGTCAGCAGTCGGTTCTAGCAAATGCATCACTTGCTTTCAAACGGATCAAAAGAAAATGGTTTTCCTACATCAAATCCTTGTTCAAAAAAAAAACATTGTTTTTAAATGTCTGACTCCTCATCTCAATACCTTAAAACTGGCTCTTTTTTCTCTATAATAATCTTCCAAAATGGCTCTGGGCATCTCTTGTATTAATAAGTGTTTTTGAATAGTGTGCAGCCATACAATTTAAAACCTTTTTCTCTGTAACATGAACTGTGGATTACAGTAAACCTTTGTGTTTGGAGGAGTCATTTGTTCTGCCACTTAAAACCAGCTCAGTTCCCAGGGAGAGGCATCAAGAGGGAAGAAACCCTACTGGGGAGAATACAACAGAATCATTAGTTGTCAAAATGGTTTCCCTACACTGCTATAAAGTCTTCCCATCGGGATACGGATTTCTTTGCTCTGTTATTGGGAGAATTCCTGTAATTTGTTGCAGTATTAACTGTGCAGCATGCTCCCCACACAATATCTTCACAGGTGATCTCACAAAATCATATCTCTATAAACAGACTTTTTTTCTAAGAACAGCTGTGCAAATTGAACAAGATGCTGAATGAATATTTCTTACTTTATTCTTCAGCCCTGATGATGCCAAACAGTGCTTTGTTTTAAAATCTCCTGACTTTTCAAGACAAAATAAAATAAAACGATGCCGTTTTTCCTAGATGACAAAGCCCAGTTGCTACAGGCTGAAGAAAAATGAACTCCTTCCCTTTACTCGTAGTTTAATTGGCAGTGGTCCTGGGGCCCCGCTTCTTCTCCAGGCCTATGTCTTGAAACTTTTCCTGAAGAAGAAAGACTCCTGGCTAAGGTCTGATATGTTGCTGCCTCTTTCTAGGTGAGACTCTTAGATTCTCGGCTTGGGATGGCCTGATGGGCATAGAAAAATTGCCCTGCCTCAAGGCAGGATTACCTATCTACATATATCATTTGAAGTATTTTTTACCAGATTACTCCAACTCTATGGGGAAAAGAGCTTTCTGAGTTTCCAAGTGACACAAAGCTTCTTCCTGATATCAACTGGCAGCAAATGTTCATTAGAATCTACTGGCAGAGAAGGTCTTCCCTCCCTCTCAACCTTATGTATGCATAAGCTAGCGTAAAGACCCATACAAGTTAATAAGAGGAGGGCCTTCTTTTTCCAAATCACCTTTTTCAGAGCTACCTGTCTGGAGAAGAGGGAGCTTCCTGCAAAGCCTCTTTCCACCTCTGTACAGCTCTTGCATTATTAACTATTCTGAAAAGTGTGGCAGCCATTTTTTTTTCTGTAATATGTAATATGGAGTACAGCTGGAGTGAACCAGAGCCTGGCCTCCGGGTCTCTTCTCTTCTTCTCGGTCCATGCTCACTCACTCCCTGAGCCATCACATCGGTCTCCATGGCTTAAATGCCATAATATGCCAATGACTGTCAGATGTATATCTCCAGCCTCCACTTTTCCCTGAGCTCTAGATTCACATACCAACCGCCTTCCCCGTATCGATGCTAGATGCGTAATTTGCAGCTCAAGATTCCCATGTCCAAAATAGGACTGTTGATTTCCACTGCCTAAGCGCCTTATCCTTCAACCAAACCTATTCTTTCCAGGTTTTGCCTTTCTCAGGAAAACAGCGTTGTCATCTGCCCAGGTGTCCTTGATTCCTTTTTTTCTCATCCCAGTCAATCCGTTTATAACCCCTGCGGGTCTTTCCTCAAGTATATCTTGATCGAATCCACTTATTGCTCTATCAGCACCATCCTTGGTCTAGGCAGCAGTTCTGTCTCACTCAGACCCCTACTCAGACTCAGTAGACTCCTCTCTGTCTTCACCCTCCTGTTGTAGATTGGTTTAAGATATAATCAGACCACATTTCTGCTTACAGTCTTCCAACCGCTTCGTGTTTCACTTAGGACAAACTTGAAAAGGCACCACTCTGGCTCACAGAGACCTATGTGATGTGGCCCCCTGCTGCCTTTCCATTGTTTTCCTCCTTGCCCACTGGCCTTTTCACTGTCCTCCATGCACCAAGTTCATTCCTTTCTCTGGGTTGCACTAGCTTTCTAAAATGCTCTTTCCCTTCATTTACACACAACTGGCTCTTTGTCTTAATTCTGTCTCATCTTAAATGTCACTTATTCAAAGAGACCTTTCTGAACGAGACCAGCTCGCTCACCAGGCTCTCCTGACTCATCAGACAGGAGCTCACCGAAAGGGTACCTGAGAGAACTGGGTGGGAGACGAGA